CTTTTAATAAAGCTTTTAGAACTTTGAAGTGACTTATGTTCTGGTGTGTCTGTCTCCCGTGCTTAACGCGGTTTTTCCCCTGACAAGACTTACAGCTGATCCAGTGATAATGTGGACAGGGACGCTGGGATTGGTATAAGGGGCTGCGGTGCTCCCGTTGTAAACCTGAAAGAGGGGCAGAGAAGGGAAAAACAGTTCTCTAAGGGAGGAAGAGTGTAAGCCTGGATTGACGCTGGGGGCCAGCCTGCCCTCTGGCCTGCCCAGGGAGGGTGGGGCAACTTCTCTGAGTCAGGGCAACCTCCGGACTGAGAGCGCTTTCTTGCTCTTGCCGCTTTGCAGCCCTCGACTCCTTCCCCACAAAAGGGGCAGACAGAGAGATGGACGCCGTGGGTTCCAAATCAGGAGAGCCCCCTCACCCCTCCCAGGGAGTCACAGCTGAGTGGCGGCCGGCCAACTCTGAAGGCCCTTCACAAAGAATGCCCCTGGCCTCGGGAGGAGGACAGCAGCCTCTTCCAGCCCACCCCCACGGCTGAAAACACCTTGTAGTCGTAGACCGGCCAGAGGCGCTCGTAGGAGTGCTCGTGAGCCCACAAGGTCAGATCCACCCCTGGAGAAAGAGGAAGCCAGAGAAGGAAGGCAGCAGGGGAGGGAGGGGAGCCCAAATGGGCAGGGGCAGGTTGGGGAGGGGAAGGCCAGCAGTTGCTCCTGGGGGGGTGCAGCCCTCCTTCCTGTTGGCTTCCTCTCAATGTTGGGGAGCAAAGCCAGATTTCCTCTAACAATTCTTAGTGAATTGCGGAAGAAGGGTCAAAAAGGTCAAGATGGCAGTTGCAACTGCACGATCAAAGCCTCATTCTTTTTTTTTACATGCATGATATGCGTTTGTTACATATACGTTATATGCATCCCCTTAGGTGCTCAGCAGCAGGACACAGGTGCTGGTAGGAAGACTTACCATATTTGTAGAAGAGGTCCTCCAGCCCGTAACGGTTTGGCTTCAGTCCTTTGCGAACCTGCGAAGGCAGCCAACAAACCACACTGGGTCTCTGAGAGTCCCCCTCCTGCCATTCCTGTTCAAGGCTGCCTAATTCTGCACGCTCCTCATGGCGCTGGGCATGGGACTCAGCTTCCCTCCAAGCTTCGCTTCCTACGGCTGCCAAGGTCTGCCTGAAGTGCAGGGTGCAAAGGCCGGGCCAGTCTTGGCCACGCGAGACAGAGAGGCGCTGGCCAACGTTTTTGCTACCCTCTATTTTCTGCACAAGAGACTTAGCAATGCCCGGGGCTCAAACCGGCTTCTCCTACTCACAGTGCTCTCATACTGCGTGCAGTCGTCCTTGTCGTTGTTGGAGCAGTACATGGGACGATGCCCCATGGTGACAATCCAGGGGCGCTCCCCACGCCGCGCAGGCTGGTTCGCCTCCTGCCGCCCAGAGGAAAAAAGACAGAGGCCCGTGTTTTCCTGGCACCAACTGACTCCGCCCACCCAAAGCCGGGTCCACCTTACCTGGAGGTCCCTCTCCAGCCACTGGAACTGCTTGGCAACCAGCTGCTTCCCATACTCCAGGTAGAAATACACCTCCGTGGAGAAGGCAATGAGGTGAGCAGGGCCTACATCCCAGCTGAAAGGAAGCAAGACGGGCACCCGCTAAGAGCAGGTGGACAAGCAGGAAAAAAGAGGCCCCCCCCCCCCGAAGATGGGGAGACATCTCTGTGGCAGTGACGTCTCTGATCCGTCAGCTCAGATTTACCCCAGGCGCCATCAGGACCAGAGAGCAAATCTGGTGGAGCAGAGAAGGCGATGGGCTGGGAACAGGGAGAGCCAGAACTTTCAGCTAGAGGAGTTCCCTGGGGGGCTTTGGGCCAGGCATTCTGTCTCAGCCCAGCCTCCCTCGCAGGGTAGTTGTGGGAGAAAATGGGAGGTGGGAGCTGTATGTACATAGCCTCGAAGCCAAGAGCGGTAGGGTAAAAGCCCAACCAATACATAAATAAATAAAATCAAAATGCACACCATCACCTCCTAGGGCAGTGTTGTCTGAAAGCCCGCAACATCCTGGGGTGCTGTGTGTGATGAGCCCCACAAAGGGCCGTTCGCAGGAAGTCTCTCTCTAAAATACCCCCACTACAGCTTCCCATGCCAGAGGCAGGACGCCCAGCCACCGCCAGTGGTGCTCCTGATCCCGAGCTCCCCGCTGGCACCCAGACGGCTGGGCC